AAAAAAAAAAAAAAAAAAAAAGAAATTACCGTGGCATTGTATAAGCCGCGGGATTTAGTCAGTGAAAAATAGACCGGCCATTACGGTAATAAAACGGCACAAAAAAAACAAGTAAACTTTTACTGACGCTTGCTAAATAAAATAATATAAACAGAAAAGTTCGCTGAAAGTTTTTACCACTTATTTATACACTTTAATATCTTGTTGTAACTATAAGATAATACTTCAAATTAGGGGTGCACCGATTTATCGGCCAACACCTGCATGAGAAACCGATTTTACAGATTTTTTTGTTTTAACAACAATTGTCTGAACTTCATTTATATTTCAGAGCACTGGCTCATGACCAGTTAAAACAAGTTTCAATAAAATAATATTGGAAAATTGACGGTGAATTGTGACGACAGTGTCGATTATAAAACAAAATCGGAATCAGCCGGTCAGACTTTTTAGAAATCGTACTTCAAATATGTTCAGTCACACATGAAGAGACACAAAACGTAGAAAACAAGTGATTTAGTGGGTAAATAACTGACTAAAACCTGAAATTTAATATCAATATTAGGTCAGAATGCTACAACATTGTTTGGGGAAAACTGCAATTAAAAATAATTTAAAAAAATCCTAGAAAAATATGTGAAATTGTGGCATTAATGTTTTATATTTAGGCAAAACTCTTGGATATTTTCTTGTTAAAAAATTGGCTTAAAAATGTGCAAGAAAGAAAGATTTTCGGTGTTTAAATACATATTTTACAAGAAAATATTTCCACCTAAATGTAATTTTAATCAATCTACACAGTAAATCAGGGGTTCTCAACTTTTTGAATTCCTTACAGGGGAGAAAGTTTCAGGGACGCCTCATAACCCTCATGTTTATTAAATATCTTTATTTAATTTGTCTCTTTAATGCAATGGAAACATTTGTGTAACATAAATACTTAGGACATGTTCTTCAAAAGTGTTAATAGTTTATATACTTTTAAACATGGGGTATTTTTCATTGAAGACACAACTAATTAACACAATATTTAATTTAAACTTCCAAAAATTATAGTTTTGAGAAAATCAACTGCATCAAAAGCCACGTTAAAACTTTACCTATTTACATTTATTAACCTTTAAATAACTTTTCTATTCACAAAATGAACAAAATAAACGTTTTGCCACTTCTTTAAATTATTACAGAAAACTCTCGACATTGAACTGAACAGAACCAGAACCGCTGGAGTCGGACCAGGTACCAGGGCTTCACTGGGCGGAGGTGGGTCGGTGGGTCCCCCCCCCCAGACATTTTTGAATAAAGTTGATGTGATTTCCTGCATTTTGGTGTATTTTAACAGGTTGTTAAACATCTACGTACTTACAAAAATAATAAATAAAAAGCGGACCCTCAAGCACCGACTCAGACCCCCGGGGGTCCGGGGACCCCAGTTTGAGAACCACTGCACTAAATAAAATGTAGATTTTTGTCATTTGATATTTTATTTGATCATCTTTTAAGGTAAACAAATAATTCAGTATAGCACAATAAATAATAGAGCTTCAACATTTTTCTTCTAAATGTATAAATAACTAAATAAACCAACCTTCTTTATCGTGTTATTTTACCCGACAAACTCCACAAACTGTCCACGTTTCATTTTGCTCACAATAATTAAACAGCTAAACAAGTGGACGGCGGGCGGAGCTGGACAGAGCTGAAACTAGCCGATGCAGTCCTCGGCTCTTTGAGGAGACTCGCCTGAGACAGAGGAAGCACGTCCTGACGGCTGCTTTGCCGAGAGGAAACATCTCAAACAGGCACGTTTTGGAGCAGAAGACGTCCGAGAAGCCTTTCTTCTGGTAGGCGGTCTGTCCCTTCATCATGCTCTTCCTGCAGCAGGAGCAGCTCATCTGCACGGCCTCAAATACAAAACACACACAACAATCAGTTACATGTTTGTACAGTCCTTCTTAAAACGTTGTGATGTTTTAGCTGTCCTGTTATCCTTCGGCTCATTTTATTTTGTGTTTTAACCTTTAAACTTTCACAAATATTTACCTTTAATTACAGTTTTAATCCCTGTGAAACCCACACAGATCTCTTGGGTTCCTTAAAGAACATTGTTCTGTTTGAAACCTGCTTCAGCTACTAGCTGTTTTGGTCTTCTTATACAGCTTTTAGCTTTTAGCTGCTGCTGCCAAAAAACACAAATGGAACAACAACAAATATGAAGACAGCTCTAAATGTGAGTATTTTTAAATCCATGTTAAAAACTTCTCAGGATTATGACTGAGTTTTTACATGTTTTATTATTATTATTATTTTATAAATATGTGTCAATCTTGGTTTTTTTATGTTTCTAATGTGAAGCCTCAGTCTTATCTGAGTTTAAAAGCAGAAAATTAAGGGTCATCCAGGTTTTTATGTCTTTAAGACATGCTTGTAGTCTAAGTAGCTGATTGGATTCATTGGGTTTAATGGACAAATATAATTGTGTATCATCAGCATAACAATGAAAATTTATCCCATGCAGTTTAATAACTTTACCTAATGGAAGCATATATAAAGTAAAGAGTATTTGTCCAAACACTGAACCTTGAGGAACTCCATGACTAACTTTGGTGTATGAAGAAGATTTATTATTTACATTTATAAACTGGAATCTATCAGATAGATATGATTTAAACCATTTTAGAGCTGTTCCTGTAATTCCAACATCATATTCAGGTCTCTGTCATAGAATATTATGATCAACTGTATCAAATGCAGCACTGAGGTCCAACAGGACCAGTGGAGACACCTGTCCATTGTCAGAGGCCACGAGAATATCATTAGTGACTTTCACCAGTGCAGATTCAGTGATGGTGAGCTCTGCAGCCTTTAAGAAACCGGTTCCATCTTCTTCAGTAAATTTCAGCTGTCGTTCAGCGCTCAGTCTGTATTCACCGTTCGCCCGTTCTCCCATATCGTGTCCGCTCACAGAACCTCCATCACGCTGACTGAATCGAAACGCTTCTTGGTTCTGGGTTTACGGCCGTAAATCCGACGTTTCCCGGTTCTCGTGCCGCCTGACTCGTCTCCGCGGTGAAAACGACCCGCAGGCCTGCAGCGACTCGTGGCGACTCCAGAGAGCGGCCTCACCTTCTTGTTGTTCGTTTCCTCTCCGGACGAGGAGGCGGGCTTCTTCTGGTCGTCGGGGACTTCCTGCCCGTTACCCAAATTGAACTTGGAGACGAGAACTGGAAACTTCACACGTTCCTAAATTGAATCAGCAAAGGAAAGAAAAACTGCTCAGAGAACTGAAGCAGAGAGAAAATATAAACTTTGTCTTTAGTGTTTTCTTGTAAAACAACTCACAAGCTTCAGCCTTGGGATGAGTATTTTTACATCTTTCATCTTCTTCAGCATCTCGGCCACGTTGTTCATCTCTGAACATCAAGAGCAGAAACGTTCAATTTATTTTACGATCACCGTCTTTAACGCGTCGCTGCAGAAGAGGATTAGGGCCACGGTGCAATTATTGAGTTCCCTTAATTCTGAGAAAAAAGTCAGAATTTGAGAAAAAAAATTGAGACTTTCTCAGAATTTTGACTTTTTTCTCAGAATTATGGGGAAAAAATTGCACCGTGGCCCTAATCCTAATCCTCTGCCATACTTTCCTTATTTTTAGTAAAACATGATTATAAATACTGACTACACTTACCTGCCCTGGGTGGAGAAGAACCATCGCTGTCCACGTCCATCCAGGCATCTCCGTCGCTCTCGTCTTCCTCAGCTTCCCTCCTCGGCTCGTCTTCCTCAGCAGGATCTTCTTCATCAGCGTCCATCATCTCCTTAGCGGACTCTTCGTGGTTTGTCTCGTTGCTCTTTTTGGCTTGATCTTTAAAAGTGGCACCAAATCTGTTGAAGCCGTCATCATCGTCATCGTCCCCATCGGTTTCGATGTCCATGTTGAACTCCACGTTCATGCCATCATCATCGTCGTCGCTGAAGTAAATCGGCGGTTCGGTGTCTTTGTTCGGGACTGGCGTCGCTTCAGGAGCTTTCTCCATTTCGTTGTCCTCGTTCGGATTGGGCCGTTCTGCCTCGTTCTCCTTCTCCTCGCCCTTGCGTCGGTTCCTCGCTGAAGAACTTCTACGTTTCTTTTTTCTAGCAGAAGACTTGGAGGCGCCTGGAGGCACAGGAAGAACAAACTCGACGTTTAGCTCACAGATGTTCATTCTGCACTATTTAAATTTCCATTCTGTCAGTTTTATTAGAAAACAGAGGAGCTGCCCACCGTCCTCCTGAAGAGACGTTTCTGACTCTACGTCCTTACTGATCGGCTCCACAACCGGCTGCAGCTCAACTACAAAACATCAACAACAAAAACTACATTTACGTAAACTACAAATATTCTTGTGCTCAAGTCAACTCTACCACATATTTACAGAAATAAATCGCGATGAAATGTTAGACAGTTGCTTTTGTTGCAGTTTTTCTATTAATTTTACGTAAACATCTTCATCGACGTCTGCAGACTTCGTGTCATTTCAGACGTAAACAAACCAAAACGTTCAGTTCAGTTGAAGCGTCACGACGTCTGCTTTTTGTAACTTTCATACTTTTTAAAAATATTTTACTTTACTTACAACTAGGCCTGTCACGATAAATTTTGCTGGGCGATTAATTGTCTCAGAAATTATTGCAAGAAACGATAATATTGTTTGAAATTTGACAGTAATTATTAATCATTGTCAAATTTAAGAAGAAATGTTTGTTAATTTGTTTTGAGTGTAGTACCTTTTTGACCACCTGATGGCAGTATAAGACTGAACAGAAGGATGGATAATGAGGGAGCGAGCAGCGTGTCTCTTTAAGAAAAACGAGTGGGAGGCCCCTTGACTTGACGTGGGCTGTCTCTCTTCAGTTCTCAAAATGGCGGACGCTCAGTGTGGTTTGAGCTTTTTAGAATTTTTCACACAAAACTTTTAATAAAATTTAAAAAAAAATCAGTAAACAAGTTCTCAGCTTCTTTTTGCAAAGAAAAACGACTTTTTACACGAAGACACGGGTTTCAACTGTGAATTTTGGAACTTTAACAAGACGGAGGTTTTTTCTCTGAGGCCGGCCTGTTAGCTTAGCTCGTAGCTTAGCTGCTTTTAACGATCCAAAAATGTGATTTTTAGATGGTTTCAATAGATTTTAAAGAGAAAAGAGAAAGGGAGAGGTCAGTGAGGAGCACCGGAGTTGAGCCTTTCGTCGTCCAGTGTCTTCAGAAGAAAGAGAGACACGAAGAAACGATAAAGCTGATAAATGAAAATGCTGTAGATAATTTTCATTCATCATGAGATTAATTGATTTATGTTTATCATGACAGGCCTACTGGTACTTACAAATATTAGAAATACCTCTTCAGTTTCTTCAACAACGTTTAGAAACTTCTTCTGGCTGTTTTAGTCTTACCTACACATAGCTTTAAGCTATTGTTCTGCTACTTTGGGATTTTAGCCAATTTTTTAAAGAACTTTTAGCTTTTTAATACTTTTAGTTAAATCTTTTAAAACTTTAAGCTAAACTCTTGGTGCTTCTAGTTAGTCTTTTGTTAGTTTTAGAAAGATTTTTGCTACTTTTAGCTTTTTGCTAATCTTTTTTTGTGCTTTTAGCAAATGTTTTAAAAACTTAATTGTGTTTTTAAATACATTTGTGCTACAATTTAGTTTATTTTTGCTACTTTCACTTTTTAACTGGTGTTTTGCTCCTTTAAGCATGAGTCCACGTGACTCCATGAGACGAACCTGATTAAAAATCAAGGTTGAATGAAAAAGATTAGCAACTCAGTTTCAGCTTCTTCAGCAAAGTCCTGCATCTCTCAGTGTTCACGCTGGTTTAGCAAACTTTTATTTTTTAATGAGCTTTTGTATTTAACAGCGTCTGCAGCTGCTGTGATGCAGTTATAAAGTGGTGAACTAAATGAAGACGAAACGTACCTGGAATCTCGATCTCCTCCAGAGATTTGCCTTCAAATACTTCCAGACATTCAGTCTCCAGTGCAGACAACAGCACTAAGATTTTTGCGATGTCCGCAGCTGCCTCCGGTTTCTGATAAAACTCACGGTCGGTCCGAATGTCCCGGCCCAGCAGCTTGGCGACCTGACCGAGGCCCTCATTGGAGAAGTTGAGAATGTGGAAAATTGTAGCCATGTGCTTGCGAAAATACGAGGACTTCAGGCCCGCTCGGTCTTTCACGTTGGAGCTTTTGAGGTAAAAGGCGACCATGGAAAGCCCTTTGAACATGGCTGAGCTCGAGGCGCCTGGTTTAGCGAATAATAAGGGGTGGTTTTCAGGAACGTTGCAGGTTTTTCTTTTCTCCACAAGCAGGGTTATGGCAGTGAGCAGGTCACGGGTGAGGACAAGAACTATCTTTTTCCCCATTTTGTTGGCGACGGTAACCTTCACAGTGCATTTGGACAGGATCTCCCCAAATAGCGACCAGCTGGCTTTGTTGTTCTCCTGCGGCTCAGATTCCTTCCTCTTCTGGAACGACTCGAAGGTCACATCCGAGACTTCTTGGACAGTTCGGTTCCGGCTGGCTTCGTCGTTTTCCTGCGGCTC